CTCAAGCCTCAGGTCCCTACATCTCCCCTTATTATTTTAAGTGAGGCTTCCCAGGGATAGCCCTGGGAATGGGAGTCACCGTCCCTTTTCCCTATTTTATTATGACCTCCCTGTCTTAGGTTGCCTCTCCTCAGGTTCTGAAGTTGCCCGTCCTTGGGTAACCATGATTGCCCTCATGGCCCCTGTCTTAGGTTCATCAGTCTGGGAGGGTCTTACCCGTCATTGGGATTAGTCATGCATGTGATTATCAGGGGTCTATCCCATAAAGAGGGCAAAACAGCCTCACATTTTTAGGCCAACTCAAGCATCCAGGCCTGGACTTGTCTAGGGGAGGGGGACCCGAGGGAGATTGACTGGACCAAGACTTTCTCTGTCTTGGCTTCTTGATGACTGAACAGAGACACCTGAGGAAGTATAGTATCAGATGACTAAGTTCCCAGGAAATCATCCATATCTAATTTCTCTTTAGGTGGGCCTAATGATCTGAGTAGGTACAAAACAATCTCTCTATGAAGAAAGAATAAGAATAATATTGCATCAATAAAGACAGGAACTAAAGTAGAACAGCCAAAGACACGGCATGCTCTTTTAACACAGCCATCTCCAGGAGACATTCTTCCTTTGAAGTTTTCTCAGCCTCGACCTATGGAGAGTTCCTCACGTGGGCTCCACTGGAGGTGGCATGACAGTGCTCCATCCTTTTTAGGAAAAGGAACAAGGGTGTAAGCCCATTTCACAGGACTTCTGACTCTTTGATCACGTATCTTCAAAGCAGTCCTGACTCAGCCCAAAGTCAGGTGTGGAAAGTGTGAGACACACACACACACACACACACACACACATGCACCCAAGGTTAGGATGTAAGAGCCATTCTATGCTAAGTGATAATCTAAGCTGTCATACTTGGTCGCTATGTCTTTCCTTTTGCTCCAAAGAAACTTCATGTTTCTTTGGAAATACAAATATATCAGTGATATTTTTTTCATCTATCAGTGGTATTTTCCCCCTTTTTAAGTTTTCTGATTAATGTTTTGATATTACCTGTACTATTCAAACACTGCTACGACCAACATACCCTTGTAATCTATGAATTATCTTAAATTTTGTGACATTTTATTGTCTCTGAGCATTCTTCACTAATGTCTCTTTATTTTAACTGCCAGGCACACCTTTTTTCCTTCTAGTAAGCTAAACAGATTCTTGGGTAAGAGTGGACAGATGCTTTCATCAAACACTGCACTCTAGTGAAGGACAGATGTTGCTCCCATGGAATACCTAAATCACTACCTCTGTCATCTTAGGAGCTTTTAAAATCTGTGTATAGTTTATAGCTTCACGAGAAGCCATACTGCTTTTTCAGAAATGACACTGTGCCTCCCATTAAATAAGAAAGAATGCAGAGATCGCTCTGTAGTCAAGAGCACTTGCTGCTCTTCAGAGGACCCTAGCTGGGTTCTCAGCACCCGTGTCAGACCACTCACAACTGCCTATAACTCTAGCTCTAGGGGATCTGATGCCCTCATCTGGCCTATGTGAACACACATGGCATATGCACAAACACATACACATACACGTTAATAAAAAAATGTTTTTTAAAGAAATGTAACAACTTTCTTTTAGTAGCAGCCAAGGTAAATTAGTCAATTATGAGTTCTTTTTATTTTTTTAACTTAAAAAAAAGTATGAGCTGGGCATGGTGGCACACGCCTTTAATTCCAGCACTCGGGAGGCAGAGGCAGGCGGATCTCTGTGAGTTCAAGGCCAGCCTGGTCTACATAGTGAGTTCCAGGACAACGGGGGCTACAGGGAGACCCTGTCTCAAAAAGACCAAAAAAAATATTTTCATTTCTATTTCGTACAAAGCAATCACAGGATTAAAAATAATCATACCACTATTTAAATCATTTGCACAAAATCAGTGAATATGTATCAAGAGTAGAGCATTAGATTAAAGAAAGCTATACAACTCAACATTTAATTATATTAAGCCATACATTATGTTGAACCTTTTAGTGAAGACTAAACATGCCATAATATATGCACTTATATACATGCAGGCAGAACACTCACACGCATAAATATTTTTTAATTTAAAAAAATAAAAGGAACTCACGGTTGAATAATTTACCTTGACTGCTACTAAAGGAAAGTTGAGCTACATTTCTTTAAAAAACATTTTTTTATTAATGTGTATGTGTATGTGTCTGTGCATATGCCACATGTGTGCCACTCATGTTTATGCCTTCTAAAGATAGAATGCAAATGAGTGTGGGTGCAACATTACATTCGAAGACTTCCTCTCCTTGATCAGATCAATTCTAATGCTGTAGATCCTATTTTTGTAGTTTGGAAGAGAAAACGAGCCCAAACTTCTCAGCTCACCCAATGGTTCCAGGTTACTATGCAACATCGTTTGAAGGTAATCCAGGTTTCCACAGAGCCTGACTCAAAGTTGAGACTACTAATGACTGGTATTTATTGATCCCTTGTTCTCTGTTGGTTACTGTTCTGTGTAAACCAAACTCATTTAAACTCCCAACAGTTCTATGAGAATAGTCACCTTTAGTATCCATATCTTGGTAACAGCAAATAGAAGCTCAGAGATTAGGTTGCCAGCTGTGTTAGTGATGCCACACGGGGGTTCCTGTAAACAGTACAGGGAGCTCAACAAAAAGTGCAGTATTGGACACTTCTGGAAACCAGAAGTCTTAAATCAAGATGTCAGCAGGGTTGGCTGATCCTTTTGAAGGCTGTGCAGAAAGAATCTATTCCAGGCATTTCTCCTTGTTTTGTGGATGGCAATCAGCGACCATCTGCCTTCACATTTTTTTTTCCACTCTGCTTCTCTTTGTGTCAATTTCCCTTTTTCAGAAGGACATTAATCCCAGTGGATTAGGGCCCACTCTTACTACCTCATTTTAACTTGACTACTTCTGTAAAGACCCTCTCTCCAAAAAAGATTACTTGGGGAGTAAGAATTTTAATATGTGTATTTGGTGAGTAGGTATTAGCTTTTTGTTACCACAGTTAAATCTTTAAAAAGGTTTACTTTGGTTTATAGTTGTGAAAGTTTCAGTCTGTGATTAGATGAGCCCATGACTTTTAGGTCTATAGTGAGTTGGCGTTTTGTGGTAGAATCACATAGTAGAGCAATCTTGCTCACTAGGTAGCCTGGAAGCAAAAGAAGGGGCAGAGGCGGGGTCTCACAATGCCCTTCAAAGCCCCATTGATCTAGAGAGCCCAGTAGGCCTCACCTCTTAAAGGTAATACCACCTCCCAATAACAACAAGCCAAGGACCAGGCTTTTAACACATGGGCTTTAGGGAACATTTTAGATATAAACTGTAGTAAGGTATGCAATGGAAAAGGGTGCATAATTCACTTAATATCACCATTGTTGGTGATGGAGCTGGGATTTCAATCCAGCAATCTGGCCTCAGAACCCAAGCTTTCAGTCTCCACATTATATGCCTTGACTATGATGGTTGAGCCATGTGAAATTGACATTTTTGTGGGTCAGACATAGTTAAATATATTGGCAGTATTGATGTGATTTGATCTGACCTGATTCTATTGATTCTAAATTATACCATCAGGTCAGTTCTACAAGTATCATCACCCTTTATGTATGTAGCACAGGACAATGACAAATACCCAAGAAATGAAGTAAGTGAGCTACAGCCTGGAGAATGTGTATTTGCCTAAGAATTTCTGTCCTTGATTCTATCTCTTAAGGTAGTGAAGACATAAACATTCACACAAACCCTTTCAAAACAATGTAAGTCATGTATCTTTTTATTCCTGATATTTTTTTCTCTTCTAGCAAACATAGGCATTTGGAACTTAATGATCAAGTTGATAGTGTTTCAACTTTTACTAATGTATTGGTTAGGATTCAGTGGTTAGACACTATGCTAGAAAAGAGGATGTTCTCCCCTGATTTTCACTACTGCAGGAGACAGTTTCAAAATGCAAGGTGGTGATGTCATAATTACAGAGCACATCATAAGAGCGGTTGAGTCTAGTTTCCCTTTTATATAATTTATAAAAATTAAGTTTAAGTAAACAATCTTTAAAAAAAAATAAGTGTATGGAGTAAATGGTTCCACATACATATTTTTTCCAGTATCAAGATAACTATTTTAATCTTCCCTAGTTTTCTGTAAATTTATGTCATGTTATGGGAAACTTCATTTTTCTGTCATTTAAAAATAGTCTTTTGGGGGCTGGAATGATGGCTCAGCCATTAAGAGCACTGGCTGCTCTTGCAGAGGACCCGAGTTAGATTCCCAGCACCCACATGGTAGCTAACAGCCACCCATAACTTCAGTCCCAAAGGATCTAATGCCCTCTTCTGACCTCCTTGGGCAATGCATGACACAGGTGCACTTACACACATGTAGGCAATACACTCATACACATAAAATAAAAATAATAAATAAAAAATAGTCTCTTTCATGATTTTTAAGAAAGACTTTGTAACAACAGTAGCAATCTAACTGTATCTAACGTTCATCCCCTTGTGGTGATGGGGATGGAACCCAAGGTCTCACACATGCTTGTCAAGAAACCTACCCCTATTCTAGAGCCCCAGTCCTCTTCTTGTTTTTAATACTTCTTCATTTTATAGGTGGTAATGACCATAGGAGTTACCAGAGAAAACTAGAATTAGAATTCACACTCAATACATTAAACATGTCAAAACCCTGCTTGCACGGCATGAGGCGATACGTTGAACCTGGCAATGGTAACAGCACTCTGTGAATCGGGAATCCAGAAGATGTGCCTTCTCCATTCTCACACATGTCTTTTCTTTTGTTCTTAGGTGTTCCAACCCCAAGCCAAGAAATTCTGCGGCATACCCTAAACACACTGGTACGGGAGAGGAAAATCTATCCAACTCCAGATGGTTATTTCATTGTGACCCCGCAGACTTACTTCATAACTCCTTCCCTCATAAGAACTAACAGTAAATGGTACCACTTGGAAGAGAGGATGCCTGACAGGTCTCAGTGTACCTCTCCACAACCCGGAACCATAACGCCCTCTGCCTCAGGCTGTGTCAGGGAAAGGACATTGCCGAGAAACCACTGCGACTCTTGCCACTGCTGCCGAGAAGATGTGCACAGCATGCATGCCTCCACTCTGCAGAGGAAGTCTGCCAAGGACTGCAAAGACCCTTACTGCCCTCCTTCACTCTGCCAGGTGCCACCCACTGAAAAGAGTAAAAGTACTATAAATTTTTCTTATAAGACAGAAACTCTCTCAAAACCTAAAGATAGTGAAAAGCAGTCCAAAAAGTTCGGACTCAAGTTATTCCGGCTGAGTTTTAAGAAAGACAAGACCAAACAGCTGGCCAATTTTTCTGCCCAGTTTCCTCCTGAGGAGTGGCCCCTACGAGACGAGGACACTCCAACCACCATCCCTCGGGAAGTGGAGATGGAAATCATACGGCGGATTAACCCGGACTTGACAGTGGAAAATGTCATGAGGCACACTGCACTAATGAAAAAGCTTGAAGAGGAAAAAGCTCACCGGAGTAAAGCGGGATCCTCAGCCCACCACAGTGGAAGGAGTAAAAAGAGCAGGACTCATCGTAAGTCCCATGGGAAGTCCAGGTCGCACAGCAAGACGCGAGTATCTAAAGGAGATCCTTCGGATGGCTCGCATCTGGACATCCCCGGTGAGAGAGAGTATGACTTTTGTGACCCTCTAACCAGGGCCCCCAGAGAGGGCTGCTTCATCATCGAACACAAAGGAGATAACTTCATCATGCACAGCAACACAAACGTGATCGAGTCCCATTTCCCCATGACGCCAGAATGGGATGTATCTGGTGAACTGGCCAAAAGAAGAACTGAGATGCCTTTTCCCGAACCTTCCAGGGGAAGCTCCCATTCAAAAGTGCACCGAAGCCACAGCCATACCCAGGACCGAAGGTCCAGGAATGAGAGGTCCAACAAAGCCAAGGAACGATCCAGATCCATGGATAACTCCAAAGGCCCCCTGGGTGCTGCTTCTCTTGGGACGCCTGAAGACCTGGCTGAAGGCTGTAGCCAAGATGACCAGACCCCCAGCCAATCCTACATTGATGACAGTACTTTAAGGCCTGCCCAGACTATTGGTCATCAAAGGGCTCACATTTCCTCTACGAGCTATAAAGAGGTGTGCATTCCAGAAATAGTCAGTGGCAGCAAGGAACCTTCCAGTGCTTGTAGCCTTTTAGAGCCAGGCAAAGCCCCTGAGAGTATGCCATCCTATGGTGAACTCAACTCCTGCCCAACAAAAACAGCCACAGATGACTATTTCCAGTGCAACACCTCTAGTGAGACTGTGCTCACAGCACCGTCACCTCTGGGAAAAAATAAGGAGGACCATGACACTTTGACCCTGGTCGAAGGGGTGAAAAAGCTATCTTCATCTGAGAGGCAGACTCCCCATTCCTCCAGGGAGCCTGTTGGGCACAAGGAGGAGTCACCGAAAGGGCCAGGTGGGGGCCCTGCTGCCTCAGGTGGCATGGCTGAGGGAATGGCCAATGGCCGCCTCGTCCAGCATCATAGCACGGAGCCCAGCAGCCTGGACAAGAGGAAAGAGATATTCAGCAAAGATACATTGTTCAAACCTCTGCACAGCACCTTGTCTGTAAACAGCTATCACAAGTCGAGCCTGTCCCTCCTCAAATCCCACCCGAAGTCACCTGCTGACGCACTGCCAGGCCGATGTGAGAAATTGGAACCTTCCCTGGGGACATCGGTGGCACAAGCCATGCCTGCTTCCCAGCGTCAGCAGGAGTCTGGAGGGAACCAGGAGGCCTCTTTTGACTATTACAATGTCTCTGATGATGACGACTCTGAGGAAGGGGCCAACAAAAACACAGAGGAAGAGAAAAATAGAGATGATGTGGGTACCATGCAGTGGCTCCTTGAGAGGGAGAAAGAAAGAGACTTGCAGAGGAAATTTGAGAAGAACCTCACCCTCCTTACCCCAAAGGAAACTGACAGCAGCAGCAACCAGAGAGCCACCCACTCAGCCCGACTGGACAGCATGGACAGCAGCAGCATCACAGTGGACAGTGGATTCAACTCCCCACGGTAGGGAGAGCTGTCCCTCTGTACAGGCATACACCTGCCAGGGCCTGGGGCTTTATACAGATAACTGACTTCACTGTCTCAAATCTGTGAATGAAGGCTGTGAATTGTGTGAGTTGTATTGTTAACAGTCTGTTTCTAACTTCTTTTTCAGGAATTGAAAAAAAAAATGTTTCTGCAGCTGTAGAGATCACCAATCTGGACTGGTGGGTTGGTTCCTTCCCTCAAACTTGTATCAAGTCTAGTCTGACTAAGGCCAATGCACCCCAATAGTTTTTCTTCTATTTGTATTGCCAACCATGCAAAGGGAAGGGATTTTTAAAAGTCCTTCAAAAATAGCAATTTTTTGAGTATGATGAATATAGTCAGTGGGAAGAGACTAAATTGTGGGTAGGGACTAAATTGATGCGAGGACAAGGGACCCAGAGGATCTGGAAGCTTACTGCCATTTTAATTCCTACTTGGTGTGTGGTCTATTCCATTTGTTCAGATAGCTTCCTCGCACCACCTGTATGTGGACAGAGAAGTAGAAGCTTGTTCCTCTCACAAGAGTTAGGATCCTGTGCTCTCATAGATCGTGATATTTGTGCACCTTTTTATTTCTCCTCCTGCAGTATCCCTACAGCCTTCTTGAGCACTGTCATTTTACAGGTCTTGATAGTTAAACAGCATTGTCAATTGAGAATGTGCAGTGCCTGGCGGTCCCGTCCAGTGCACCGAGGTTGTTTGGCGATGACAGATGCAAACCCAGAGACTTCACACTTCCTGTTTCTCTCCATAGCTCTTTCTTTTCCTTTAAACAGTATCTTGGGTCCTAAATCTTGCTTCTAAATTCCACTCCAGATTGGTGACTCTGAGATGCAGAAATGCTACCAAGAGGTCGACACTCCTCACCAGTGCTGATTCCCAAGGTCTCACACTGTTTATGATCTTAATAAGTACCATATAGGTACTTCATATATCTAACTTAAAAATTAAGAAGTATAATCAATTCTATTATGATCATTTCACCTTATTTCTGGATAAGTTAGGGATACAGCATTCCAAAGTCAGAATTGGGAATTACTACAATATTTGTTCCATATTAGGCTTTCATTATTTCTTAAAAGGCTAGTTCTTGACTTATTATTGTTATTTTGACCATTTTTTCCAAGTTAACACATAGATAGAAGTTCTAATGTCTAACAGCTATCAGAGTTAACACCCTAGGTAAAACATATGGAACTCCCGAAGACTGTACTTCAGGATCTTTGAGAGACCTGGGGGTAAGGGGTACTGTGGCCCTGGTCTACAAAGCCTGTCCTATTTAGTAACCTCTTAAGAAATTTTTCTGCTAAATAATATTTAATATTTTACATTTTGCCTCCCAAATCAGATTTTATTTTCCAGTTCATTTTCTCTGTCCTTGTCTACCTCTTTTCCTGTCCTTCACACCCCTCCCCCTGTCTTCTAGTAGGTATGAGACAAACATAAGTGAAGATCCATGATAAAAGTTCAGAGCCATGGCTTATGGAGAAGATAGTTTATTGTTTGCTTCTATCTTCTTGTTCCTTATTTCTTGTCATATGGAATCTACTGCCTAATGCTTTTCCGGTTATAGTTTCAAGTCCTTCACAGTGCTCCCTCCTCCCCTGGGATTAGGCAGTAAATGATGGTACTCCCAAGATTGTTGTCAAGGAGATGTTGGGAGTAAGTGAGTCTGTCCTAAACCAAAAAAGGAGAAGGACTGCATACATTAGCCGAAGGCTGGTCCACTAAGTGCCTAGTGGAATTTTCTCTCTGGGAATATGTAGATCTCCCATAGATTTTAGGCAGCTAGGAAATCCATGCAGACATTCCCAGTCGTACCTTTTTGTGTTTAGGATTCTTTGGTTAGAAGGTAGATGACAAAACTTGCATTCTCCACAGCTGAATGGATTTGTTGTCTTAAACTGTACTATGAAAACTCATATAGAAAATGAAAAGTCTTGACATGAAAAGATTACTAGTTCAAATGTGAGGCCAAAAATTGGCTGAGCAACACCAGTGTGAAAATCAGAGACTGCGCACTGTCGGTGATGTATCCGCTTTATATACAGCATGAACATGTGCTTTGGAAGGGCAGGCCTAGGGACCACATGCACAGAAGGATGAACAATGGAGATGCTTAGTTCATTCTCCACCTGTGGGATCCTAAGAATCGCATTTTTAAGGTTGCACTTCATTAACTTTCCTTTAAAAATTAAATTTGAGAAATGTTTTTACTGCTAAAAGACCATCTCTGTTAGTTTTCTCATCAGCATATCTAGATCCCTCATCATGAGTGTCACAAACTATGCTCATTATTGCAATAGTATGAAATGTGTTCTTTTCAGAAACTAGAATACTTCATGTGTTTATTACTACAGATGTGTTAGCTGTGTTTAAAAGTGGTCAAAGGCATCTTACGGCATAAACATCTCAACTAATATAACGTGTTGGAATGATTTATGTTAAAATTCCAAGCACACTGTCTGGCATACAGCAGGTAGTCAATGGTTGTTAAGCCCATTCCTTAAAAGCTGGTTTAAAAATAGATCCTTTGGACCTTAAAATTCATTTTTCTTAGGAATAATTGCCATTAGCAATATTTAGATTCCCAAGCTAATCTACAGTAGCTTCTTAATTCATTATATGCTAAATATGCTTTTTAATGTACAAGCACATCAATGTTTATTTCTTTTTCACAGACACCCTATAAGTAGATAAATCACATCATAATTCTCCCATTGTAGATCGGAGAAAGTCAGGTGCTGTTGGCTGGTAAGATAGGTCAGAGGGCAAAATGCTTGCCCCCAAGCCTGGCAACCTGAATGCAATCCTTGGGACCCACATGATGGGAGGCAAGAACCAGTTCCTGCAAGTTGTCCTCTAACCTCCACATGTGCATGTGGTATGCAGTTACACACACACACACACACACACACACATATACACAATTTTTTAAAGCATATACTATTAATACTATACTACTATTAAGGTTGAAAATGGAGTTAGAGGAATGTGCCATAAAATCTTTGGGATTCTCCATGTTCTTTGGCCCTCATCCTTCCTCCATTAATCCCATGCCTCTGTTATGTCTCTGGCAAGCTACTGCTGAATTTTCTTGGGAAAGAGGTCAGACAGGTAAGTAGGTAAGGCAAGTGCCTTCTGTCCCTTAGAGCTGATGTTTTAGAATATTCTTTAGGTGTGCATACTTACCAGAGGTCTGATGGAAGAGCTTGACCTGCATCCTTCAGCTTTCTTGCTTTCTGGAGGTGCGCTCTCCAGTCAAGAACAGTACAGTGGTTTTCTTGGTAGTCAATGAACAAATTGCCATTAAACAGCTAATTTTTGACTTCTTGTTGAGAAGCAACTTGAGTCCCCAAGGGATTGGGGTTAAATGCCCTGCTGGAATTTGCTGCCAAGGGAAGAGAGAATGTCTCCATGGTGATAATCGACTTGTTAATTAGGGTTAGCTGGCTTAAACTAATTGTGGAGCAAAGTCTACAAATGTTCTAAACGTTGAATCTACCCAGTGGGTAGATGTTTTGAGAATGATGCTGGTTTCTTTGCTCTGAGTAAGTTGATGAATTTCTTAAAGTCGCTTTGAGGGCTTTGAACATGGAACCTAGTCACATCCCTTTAGTCAATCTTAGTAATCTGATTTCTGCTGTTTCTCCCCACTTTGGAAATATGAAATGCTCTACATCTCATAAGGCAGTAAAATAGATTCAAGTATTCTAATTTTAAAACATAAAGAAATTGAAGTAGAAAAAGCTTTTAATCACCTTGACTCTTTAACAGTCCTTCAGAAATGAAAATATTTCTACCAAAGGGAGGCAGGAATGAATGTCAACTTTGCAAATAAATGGGGGGAAAACCCAACATTCTTTATCTGAACATATAATTGTGTTTTACCTGAAGTGTTAAAATTAGAGACAGAGGTATAAAGTAGTTAGGAGTAATTTTATTCCCATCCCATGTGACAAAACCAGTTTGTGGCATGCTTGAAGTCCACCAAATCTAAATCTAATCAAAGACAGGAAAATTGGAATCTTTTAGTAAAATTATATCGTTAATTCAAGAGCAGTAATGTCTGTGAATTCCCAACCTTCGAAGAAATCATCACACAGGTTGAGTATTCATGTTTAAAGTCACCTGTCACATCACATTTTGAAGTAGTGTTTTTGAATGTTAAGAGAAGGGGAAGCCATTTTAAAGTGTTTTTAGTAGTCAAAAGCCCTTTCCTTGTGAGCTGCAGACTGTGGTATGCCTCATGTGAGCTACCAGATCCCCTCTGGAAGAGCATAAGCAAGTTTTCAATGGAGATGTGTATTGATATGACATTGTGAGCCAACACAGGAAATCCATTAGCTACATTATTGCTCTTCCTCTGGGGTTCAATATATAATTATTTATGTTCAAAGCAAATCCAAAACCAACCCTTTTTACTCTTTTAGTACTCGGGAGAGCCTGGCTTCCAACACATCAAGCATTGTTGAAAGTAACCGCCGTCAGAATCCTGCTTTGAGCCCGGCCCATGGTGGAGCTGGTCCAGCCTTCAACTTCCGTGCAAGTACGGATCCCCCGACAAACGAAGCTGAGAAATTACAGAAACCTTCCAACTGCTTGCAAGCTTCTGTTACTAGTGTGTGATTGTCCTTCTGCCTCAGATCTTCTGTCTCATTCAATACAGCAAAGTTTACGACAATTGGGATGATGTTTACACCTTTGGAAAGACAAGCATCTCATGCGCAGTTTGGGGTTTACTTAAACTGTGCTGCTAAGTAGGCTAGGGCACAAAAAAAAATCTTTATTTCAGAGTATCGCTTTTCACGTTTATGGCTCTGTAGCAACCGAATAGCAGTAGGGGTGATACGTACGCTTTTGCTTCACTAATTGTCTCTGAGCACACATAGGAAAGTCTAGACACTGTAAGTGGAACATGCATTTTTCAATGTCATGCAATTGCCAACTCCATTTTAAAATGCCACAGATGTATGTTGCTCCCAGTCTGTGGGGGAATGGGGCCATGAAACTAATCTTGACACTCAAAAAAAAAAGTCACCACAAAATGTAAAAATGCAAGGCTGTCCACCTTGAGAGAAACCAGTGCCAAAAGGAGCAGAAGGAACCCCAGCCCTGTGTGTGTACCAGTCATTCCTCACTGTTACCAGTCATTCCTCACTGTGTACCAGTCATTCCTCGCTGTTACCAGTCATTCCTCACTGTGTACCAGTCATTCCTCACTGTATTACCAGTCATTCCTCACTGTGAGTTTTCATGACACTCTTTTGCAGAAGCCCATAGAAGTGTATCAGAAAGGGTCCTATGGAAATGCTGGGGGTATTTGTTTTCAGGATTCTGTTTTCCAGTGCGGTCGATGCTTGTCTTGATTTTTTTAGCCTTCCATAATCACAAATAGGAATATAGGCCTTTGAAGTAGACAAAAGAAGGGAATTCCAATCTTGCTGGGGTACAGCACAGAGTGATGGATGAGGTAATGTGGACTTTTGGAAGGAATGCATCAAATCTTGAAGGAGGACGGCTTCCTCCTATGATCCTTAGAATGATCTATCTTACTATAATAGGTACAATGATTAGTTTGTTTCAAAGCAAAATGTTCTTTGTGATACAAATGAAGAGTGTGGCCTGAGGATGTTATTCTTTCTAATGGAAGGACATAAATCTATTTTATGTAGTTTTAAATAGAATGCCTAAATTAGGCTGTGGGAGATAATTTTTAGTGATTATAGGAAAGAGCAAATTTAGGGAGAGTTGGACTTCAGGCCTTTTATTCCTAGGAAGATATCTATAGAGAAAACTTTTACTAAAAGACTTTTTGATTAGAAATGTACATGGGCCCATGTAATAAACAACAGAATGTCCTCATTCTGCTAGTGTGGTATAACCATAATTTGTACTCCCCTAAAATTATCAAAGTAACAATTATGCATACATGAACTATGCCAGAGTAATGTTTACAGATACTTTGTAACCAATTTCAGGAGGCGTTTTTTAGGTGGATTATATAGTCTTTGCCCAACTTATTTGAGAATGATTTTTTTCACATTCTACTTTGGTTTACAAATGTCATATTGAATATAAAAGGCTCAGCAGCAGAGGGACTACTAACAATTACGCTTCAATCTCACAGGGAAGAGGCATTTCAACGTTCCCATTTTTTTTTCTGAGAATAATGGAATACATCTGTAGGTATTGGAAAACTATTTGCACAATGGTTACATCTGACCCAAGTAAATGGTCTGACATAAAGTTTTATTTAGTTTAGTGGCAGATGCTTTTTGGACCCATATAACATAAATGAATACATACAGCCTAAAAGAAAACCTAAAATATTTTCACCCAAGATGTCAGTAATTGGCATAAATTTGTGAGATACTTTTTACATATTGGGTTGAAACACTAACAGTGTATTGAAGGAACACAGTCATCTTTGTAGACAGAAACACGTCAATACTCTCAAATTTGATCCACTATCTGCAAGTTGCACTGTGTCTGACTGGGCTCCTCGAGTTTGGTAAAAATCCCTTTTATGTACTTTTGTAGTGGAATTTAAGCATGTTTCGTAGTCAACTGCTCCATCATTGAACTGCTGCAGCCACCTGACTTTCAGTCTTATGCCTTATGTCCTCACAGGCATGCCTCAGTTGCTCAGACACACATTATATATCTCATTGCTTAGATATGTCCAGAAAGAACAGTAATACAACTAATAAGCTACACAGTTTGTTTCCTTGAGGAGGTGCGTACCTTATTATTTCTAAAGTTTTCTATCTAAATTCATTTTTTCCAGAAAACTACTTTCAATTTTTTTTATCATACTCAGTTCATAAATAACAGAACCATTAAAACAATGTATCACCTCCGATTGACCCTCTGAACATAGCCATTAAAAGAATCAAACACTGTGTGTGCAGGAAAGGAAATCATTACCTTTAAGAGAAGCTTTAAAATATGAATTTTTGATAGTTCACAAGAAATAGGTTTACAGAAGATGTTATTCAAATAAAATGTGTATACTATTTGCCTGATAACTATGGGGTACATGATTTAAAAATAAACAAAAGAACCTCCCTTAGACCAGCAGCCATTAGCGTAGAAATGATGGACCTTGAAGATGAAATACCATGTAAACAGATATTCCATGTAGAAACACTCTTGTCTGAAATCTAATCTGGATTCTTGAATGGAGGAGGTTTGGTGGTGGGAAGCACATGCCAGATGTGACATGTGACAAGTGCATGGTCTCACCAAGGTGGGCAACTTGATGCCCATAGCCTAGGGCCCTCTCCAAGCTTTGCCAACATTCTTCTCCAGTGGGACCTTAGCTTTGTATTACATGACTGCTTGTCTAGTCTTAGACTTTATTAACTGAAAGGTTTACAAAACTGAATCTGGTTGAATCTCTGTGAGGCATTCAACTTTAAAGGGTCAACACATCTGTCGGCATTTTGCACACTTATGTATTATTATGATACAGCATATTTCTTTATGGTAATTTTTATTTTTACATATAACTACCTCCATGAATTTGATGAAATGGCAGCAGTGTGTTAAAGTGTATTGTTCAGAAAAGCAGCGTTTAAAACATGCTTCAGCAGTGGCCATGGCGTTCGTGTGTGTCGGTAACTTGCCCATTGGACTCGTGACTTTTCACTGCCGTGGTTTTATTTTATAGCATTGTTTGGCTTCCAGCTGTAAACCTGTCGTCTTTCTCCCCTCCCTCCCATGAAAGTACATTTGTTACAAATGAATGAAAGTTTTGAAACGGTTGTCTTCCCCCTTCTCCATTCTTGATAAAAAGTTCTCTTTGGCAAAGAATCACTTGGCAAACATTTGGGAAGCTATCTATTCCTATAGAAAGCCAATTGGATTGCTAGGTTTTTCAGTAACAAAAGACACACAAGAAATTTGGACTACCAACTTGAAGCACTTTGGGCCTCTCTGCCTTTGTCGCATGCTACCCTGTGGAACCCAAACTTCACTCTTATCGAAAGAGCTGTGCTGTGCATTGCAAGACTTCTGTTAAGTGATTTGTATTCCATTTGATATATTTTGCACATCTCAGGGGACATTAATAAGTATATGAAAGGGGGGGTGAACCCAGTAGAGGAACAAAAACAAGAGCCTAAAGGGACTAGCTGGATAGAAATAACAAATGTCTGCATCTTTGATGTTGGAGAGTTCAAGTTCAGGAAATATAAATTGAAAGCAAATCTGGAGTCACAGTGATATGAACACCATCTGTTCCCAAATGTCTTTTTTTCAAAACTCAACCAATATTTTTAGAATGTCCATTTAAATTCCATTGTGGTCAACCATCAAGAAATCTGTCCCACAGAAAAGCAAGTATCATCCCTCTTCTGGGTAGGCACAGCTTTGTAAAGTTCTACCCAGGATAAACCACTTGTCACCACAAAGTGTACTTGGAAATAAAGTTTTTAACTTAAATGGTAAGCATGTTTCTCACAAAACAATAGGGATCATTTTTGAGGAGAAGTCTTACCATTTAGAACGGGTAGCATTCAGAGCCTATGACTGGTAATGTTATGCAGTTCATTTGGAGATCTCAAAGTGCTTCGGAAGCATTGGACTTACTTGAAAGAGTAAACAAATGGAGTGACTCAAGATTAACCAGAAACACAATGGCGGCTATCAATGACCTATTTTCTGTCTGTTTGATAGGCCATCATGAGAAATCACTTCAATGCTATTTTTCTGATGTGTGCTAATAAAGTCAAAGAAAAAACAGCTTGACACCTTTGTCCATTTTCATTCAAAAGGGTCAGGGTGTTTGGAATCTTAACACTGCAGCACACCTTATTGGTACTGAATTGTGAAGTGGGGAGATGAACAAATCACACGAATGCCATTGCCGTCCAAGGCTAATCCAGGCATCCGCCCTTGTTTACAGTTTCATATTGGGTTTCTGTAATTCCTGTGCTAAAATCCCATCTTCAGGAACATGACTGCTCCAGGCAGTGGAAGGTGCTGAAACAGATTTTAGTTAAAAACTTTATCAAATATTCGTCACAGTGCTCACTTGCACAACAGCAATTGAAGACAGTATGTCAAGCCCTACTTTGTAGGATCTGGATTGCCAGTGAAGCTAATCCAGTTCTAAGCCTTTTCTCAAATTAAGAGATAGAAGATCTTTTACAGGGGCTTTCTCCATTCCCACAGGCCAGTCCCAGATCCAACTAGCAGTGTAGCATCAGACCACAGTGGACCCAAGCAGAAATGATTGCTTTCTCCCCTTACCCACCCCCTCCCCGTACCACCCTCCCACTGTCAAAGCCATCCAGTACTCTTCTGTGAACAAGGGACTCTTCTGCACATGCCTCGGGCTTGAGAAAGCTAGAACACAAGTTTTATGAATGCAAAAGCCATGGGAGGCATTGTTTTTCTTCAGATTAGTTAAATATGGGCAGGAAAAAGATTGCTATCCTCTGAGCTTTGCCAAGAAAGATAAAAGAATCAGCTGTCACCCCACTCTTCTCGAAGAAGGTTTTATAAGTATTAAGGCTACATCTGATATTTTCTCATAGATTTTTCTTTAGGAGACATTTCATAAATTATACATATGAAAAATTTTATTACTAAATCTCATGTGTTTGCAATAGGCACTGGCTTCCAGGTTTGAGTTAATCCCCGTATTTTGCAGCAGCATTGCAGAGGGCCTCCCCAGTGACCCCTCCTCTAATACACACTCCTACGTTTTTACAGTTGTGCTAGGACTTACAGTTGATGATTTGCAAGATTTAAAATTTGACA